CTAAAGTTTGTAAGTTGGAAAAATCTCTCTATGGACTTCGAATAAGCCCAAACATTGGAATAAGAAATTCACTGAAGTCGCTCTTAGCGTTGGCCTTGTTAACTCGGATCTGGAGCCTTGTCTATTCACCTGGAGTCATGAAGACCGATTCCTAATGTTATTATTATATGTTGATGATATCATTATGGCAAGCAATGATAAATGTAAACTTAATGAAGTCAAATCAGCTCTGAGTTTGCATTCGAAATGACAGTTCTAGGAGATCCTAAAGAATTCTTAAATACTTCAATTAAGCGTGATCGAGAGAATAAAATTCTTAAATTGAGTCAAGAAAATTATGTACATAAATTATTGACTGAATATGGATTTGAGGATTCCCATCATCAAAGAACCCCTATGCTGACAACACAGGCCTCTAATCATGAGCGAAAACAGAGAGAATCCGATATTGACAGTGAGATTTTTGTTCCACGCGATGAGAAAATGAATTGTCCATACCGAGAAGTCGTAGGTAGTTTATTGTATTTGCAAAAAAAATGCGCTAAGAAAAAGTTTTGTTTGGTTCTTACTGGGAAGTAGAAATTTTTGAAAAATACAAAGAAATGAAAAAGAAAGCCAAGTCAGCAATGTCGAATAAACGAAAATAATTCACAATGAGATTTCTATAAGAGAAATAGTTTCAAATCGAATGAAAATTTTAAAAAAATTCTTGATGAAATAAAAAATTAGTAGGAGGACCAACATTCTTGGGGCGGAGTTTTTCAACTCATTGTCTAGTATCAATCTAATTCTCCATCTTCTGATCCGTGCCAAGGACGTTGGTCCTCCTACTAATTTTTTATTTCATCAAGAATTTTTTCAAAATCCTCATTCGATTTGAAACTATTTCTCTTATAGANTGGCACGGATCAGAAGATGGAGAATTAGATTGATACTAGACAATGAGTTGAAAAACTCCGCCCCAAGAATGTTGGTCCTCCTACTAATTTTTTATTTCATCAAGAATTTTTTTAAAATTTTCATTCGATTTGAAACTATTTCTCTTATAGAAATCTCATTGTGAATTATTTTCGTTTATTCGACATTGCTGACTTGGCTTTCTTTTTCATTTCTTTGTATTTTTCAAAAATTTCTACTTCCCAGTAAGAACCAAACAAAACTTTTTCTTGGCGCAGTTTTTTTACAAAAACATGTGTTTTTTTTACGGAGATTTCATTATTTTTTTCAAAATAAACAAGGAATCGTTTTTATATCCTGTAAATTTTTTCATTTTCAATTCAATTCGGCTCATTTATTTTTCACACGATAAATCATCTTTCCAATTAACAATCGAAGTAAAACAAATAGTTCTATTCCACAGTCGTTATTTGCACCGACTTTTAATTATTTATTCAAGATTTTCCGACTGAATTTGCTTCTTCGAGAATTCATTTGTGCACGAAACTCGATTGAAATTTATCTGTGGAATTCATCATTCGTGCACCATATTCAATTTGTAAATTCTCGGGCTTCTCTTCTTGGTGCATGTGGTTGTATTGTACTACTACCAACTCCGTAACAAAAAAATTATAGGAGTTGATGTGAAATGCGAGAATGTACATGTGAACACGTTGCTATGCGCGTATTTTTTTAAATATTGCTTGGAACAAAGAAACAGTTACATCAATGAGAAGCTTGTGGCCATTTTATATAATGTAACTAAGAGTATTTTTCATGTAGCTCGTCACGTTTGTATTTTATTTAATGGATATAATTCGGAGGTAGTGGAGGGGGTAGTTGCTTCGTGTATAGATACACGGTAGCGATCGGCCTGATGTTTTGTACAATCGGAGTCAAAACTTTTCTTGGCCGATACGCTGCCGCGTATCTCGATCTAGCCGGAACGTCGAGACCTGACATTTCCAACGCAGTCAATGTATTAAGCAAACCTCAGGTGTGCCCAACCGATGAGGATTGGAAAATGGTAAAGAGAGTACTGAGGTACTTCAGAGGTACGTCTACTCTAGGTCTGAGATATGCTGGTGAGACTGATGTGATTGAAGCATTCTCAGATGTTAGTTTTGCCGACTGTAAAGGATCTTTGACTCCATGCGGTTTTGTAATTAAACTGTTTGGTGATACTATCATTTGGAGAACTCACAAACAGTCGTACGTTGCTCTATCTACCTGCCAAGCTGAATATGTAGCGATGAGTGAAGCGAGTCAAGAGTTGTTGTCTATGTTCAACTCTCTAAAATTAATTTTTCCACCCCAGTTGCCAATGATATTATAGTGTGATAACATGGCAGCGACGAGTAGTACAGAGATTAGTGGGGGGAATAAATTAAGACACATAATAGACGTGAAAGCTCATCGCATCAAAGAATGTGTGAAGCTTAATTTGATTAAAGTAAAATGGATTAGTTCAAGAGATCAATTGGCTGACGTGTTTTCCAAATCTCTAGCGTTTGAATTGCATAAACGCCAAGTTGATAGAATAATGAATGTAAATATCTAATCTTTGTTTCTATGGTTGTTTAGGAAAGAAGAAGAAATAATTTAGTACAGTCGTAAAATTAAGTTCTGGGAGTAACTAGACGTTTGTTGCTAGAGGTTGGGTTGGGTCGTTCATTTCGATCCCATTTTCCCATGCAACCCAACCTTACCAGAAAACGTCTAGTTACTCCCAGAACTTAATTTGACGACTGTACAACAGTTCCAAAGGAAGAGGATCCAGAAGCAGTCGGGAGGGAGTATTGGAAAGTGGCTCCAGCTCTGGTCCTCATATAGAGTTGCCTTATCTTGTGTTCACGTTATTCATGCTTCATATATTATATGTACGTTAATGTAGAGGGACGAGATCGTGCGCATGCGCAGATATCGTCACTGACTGGTTGCCACGGCAATCGCAACTTGTATATAACACACGTTACGAGGAGGACGCTAAGACCAGAGAAGTGCCCATTTATAAAATACTTTCGATACGTTTAACTGTGTTTCATTGCATCTACAACCACCTATTCCAATATGATTAGTGGCTTCTGTGACTAAATTATGTAGACTTAATTAATAATTATGGGTGTTGATCGATCGTCGTTCAATTTATACCAAAACAATTGACTGCAAATTTTCAATCAGCCAATTAAAATTGTGATGGCGATTTTTCCCAATGTAGACTAAAATGAACAGATTGGATCCGAAACTTTAAACCCGCAGAAAATCCCGTACTGAACGGTAGCCGTAGTGTGTCACCTTCGGCCTCTTCCACTTCGATGTTCCCTGAAGTTCTCGAAAATCATAGAAACGATAGAAACGCCATAATCGGAAAACGAGAAGCCAGCTACTCTTTTGAGGAACTGACGTCGGGAGCCAGTTGATTTTTGTTTCGGTGGTATCAATGAACCGCAGCCAAAGGGAACCAAACGAGAAGAAAACTAGACTTAAAGATAACTAGGGAAAATCGAAGGGAGAGGTTGTGGAATTATTTCGACTAGCTCGGAGGAATTCGGAAAGCGGGGTCGGATCGGTCGCTCGGTTTTAGGAAAAGGTGTCGCGCAACCCAAAGAAATATTCAAAATACTCAGAACCAAGATCGGAAAATTAATTAAATCTGAGACATGAGAATTACGTTAAATTGCCCGTGATTTATTTTATTTATCAAAATCAACTCAAAATAACCGGAAATTCGAAATTCATTTACTACAATACATTCCCGAGAGAGAGAGAGTAGACGTATGGACCTTGAGAGAAGGAGATATTTGCGTGAGAGGGAAAGAAGGGGGAAAAACCCTGAATATGTATGATCTCTCTGCACCATCGGAAACGGCGTGCATGAGGATCCGTACATGTACAAAACTGTTGGTGACGAGGAATTAACGAAAATGGGAATGAAACCAAATATTTACCGACGGAGAAAACTCGAGGAATGGAATGAGCACTCAGAGCGTGCCCTCAGTTCGCATTTTCGAATTTTCCCTCAATCAGAAGCCTCGTGGCGTCACCTCAAATATGGGGAGCTCACGAGTTTCTATTCGATGGAGAATCATAATGACCGGAATGAATTATTAGGGAAAGCGCTCCCAATTGAGGCGTCAATCCGTTCGAGCAAAGAAATAATGCCAAGACAGCACCACAGCTACATCCACACCACGTGGAGGGCATGTGTGCACGTGTTACCCCCATTCTATTTATTAATTCCCCACTTATCACTGCACGTACACTTCTTACATATAAAGAGAGTATTTGTGAACCGATTATGCACTCACTTGGTGCACTTCTCGTTCTACAAATACTAATTTTCCGGAGAGGGCACGAGGTCGTCATTCGAGGATGCCGTGGCCTGCGCATTCGCCTCCCATGCTCCTCCTATGCATTTTCGGGGGAAGTTATGCACTACTGCCCTTTCGGGAGTGTGCACTTGGCATCAGGGGATATCCTTACCACTTTCCCTCCGATCCTGAGTCCACGAGGAGTCCTCTGGGCGTCGGTTGCCTGAGCTCCCTCAACACGATGGGACTGGGATAATGGCGGAACTGCGAATGGCTCCAGCGACCCCCAGGTATTTAGCCGGAATAGGTCACTAATTAGAAAAACGACCTTATGTACTCGATTGTACATCGTTAGTACATGATTGTACAATGCAAATTTTTGTTTGTACATTCACTCATTAATTTAATAAAATTAATCAAGTTTTGGCATGATGCTAGCCGTACATTGCTTAATTGTGCTAAATTATGGGTCANTACAATGCAAATTTTTGTTTGTACATTCACTCATTAATTTAAAAAAATTAATCAACTTTTGGCATGATGCTAGCCGGAAAAAAATGTACATTGCTTAATTGTGCTAAATTATGGGTCAGTTCCGAAGGATATCATTTGTACATTACGAATTTCATGTTTTTATTGTTTGTACAATCATTGTTAATTAGTGAGGTTGAGGTGAACAATTATGATCTAACCCCACCCCCAGCAAAGCATTGATGGTTTCTGTATTATCGACTTTGGCGTTTTATTCTCTCTGTTTGCATGTGTGTTTACAATATTAGTTCATTTTTTCATTAAAAAAAACATAACATTGAACAACATAATTGTTGATGAAGGATTAATCATCTTATTTGTATCTGTGCGGGAAATAAAAATACATATCTGTATTGTGATACGGGACATTGGCATAAGGGAAATCATTAGCCCCGAAGATTCTGACAACTCGAAAGAGGTTATGGTTGATGAAAGATTGTTAAAAGAAACATTCCTGCAATAATCTTCGATCAAAAGCATTGACAATCACTGCAAACCCTGTGAGAAGGCTGTGTGTAACTGAGTGAGGTAAGCTTGCAAGCATCATTTTTAATAAATGCTTGTCAATTTTTCTCTGATTTTGATACCACTTTTTTTGGGGAGAACAATTGATAATTATTTCTACATTCTCTCTACTTCCAAAGTAAAATTGTTAGTCTCCACAAGTATTCCCTGTTTCACACCAATCACTAGTCCATATCATAAGTTATTTCATTCCTGCACAGGCAATAATTAGAGATGCGCATTCTTTTTGGATCAATGCCAGGAAATCTTCAAGCATTACACCCTCCAATAGACTGAATACTTTGGTCTCCGTATAATTCCCATCAACAGCACAAGAAGAGATACAATTGATGATTTATTAAAATGAAAGGGATTATGAAGATGTTTGAGAGTAGAATACTGGTGATAAGAAGGTCTTGAGTCCTGTGCAAAAGGAGTAACGATTATACACTGAACCTCAAGGAGACTCAATTGACATGGGCAGCTATCAGATTGCTATATATCAGTCTCAATGGATCTACAACTGTCTCAAGGGACCCGAGGGGTTAATGATTCACCGGCACAGCGATGAGCATGCCCTACTTGAGGTTCATCTTGCTCCAGAGATAAATGTCCTTGTTTTGTTGGGGACTTTGATTGATGAAACCGTGGATTCCCGAATCGAGCGGAACCTGATGGGGAACTCTGCAGGATTTAAAAAGCGAAGAAGAGCTGAAAGGACAGTAGGAGAATGGGCCCTACAGTTCTACTACAAATGGTTATTGTACTTTCAAAATGAATTATTCGTATCAGTTTCGATGAATTTTCAGTTTTGCTATCAATATAAAAGAAAAGCAGCGAAAACTATCGACATTCTGTCCTGACAATCCATCATTGAGGCGCTTTGGATTCAAGCGCTTGCACGATACGCTAAAGTATTATTGAAAACTCTGGAATGTGAAATGTCCTTGTGGAGCAGTCAGGCGTGAGGAAAATGTTTCTAATTGTCATCTATATCTGGAGCTAGATTGCAGAGAGAGAGCAACCGATCCTGGTCGTACTTGCAAGCTCTACGATCTGCCTACATCTTTGAACTTGAGCAGAGAATACAGGTATGATGCAGTTTCTGACTGATTCATTTGACTTCTCTCACCTTGAGAATTCATATATTTAACGATTCAATGGAACAATTATTATTTTCAGATTAGCTGGAGTCGTCTCATACGATGCGACCTATGAACATTTCGTGGCCTACTGTTGCCGTCATACTGGAACGTGGGAGTACCATGATGGACTACTCAGTAAAGTAAAATCCTGTGAAAGGAAATCCGGTGATACAACCTGAATCTGCCTTGTATCTGATTAATCAGTGAGCAGGAACGTTCACTATGCTCAACATTTCAGTTTTCTGTGTCGCCAAAGCTAGTTCTTTATTTTAAGTATATTAGTTATAATATGATTCTTATCGAATGTTATTTGCTGAAATAAAGATTTTATTGAAAAAATTCAGGAAGACGAGAGATAGTGAACCAAGAGTAAATGGTTTTTAGTTTGATTGTTTTAATACAAACTCTCATGTTTGAACTTTATTTCGTGATGAAAGTAAACTGTAAATAGAACAATATGAAAGACTGTTGTTGTACCTGCAACGCAAAGCCTCTCTCCACAGACGATACAGCTTATATGCATAATTTACATCTTTTCTCTTTAGTTCTTTCATGAATTCATTATCAAATACGTAGTACTGTAATTATTGGAAGTTTCTTGAGAAGGAAAAGTTTGATTTAGGAGAATTACGTGCAAGAAAATTATTAGGAGTGAAATAACACATTCTGTTGATTCAAATGTTTCATAAAATTTCTTCATTCAAAACAGCGATGAGATACGGAAAGTGGATGGAAAATCACTTACGTATTTTTTTTCTTGAAAGATAATACGATTTCGGAATTATATCAAATTATGATGTCACAATACTACGTATTTCTGTGTTTTTGCAAAACGCTATTATATGTTGTCATTCTCAATCGCTCATCACTTCATAGTTCTCAATTATTCTTCGAAATAAGAAACACGTGTCCTCTCATGATGTAGGCACAGTTCCCAACAAAAAAATGTCTTCTCGTGACCCTAATTGAATCAGAATTTCTTTGCCTATTTTTGACGCGGAAAAATAAAAAAAAGATCGAAAAACATGTACAAATGATGGAATATGAAAAAATACGAAAACATCATACAGGCTTCCACCTTTTTATACTATTTGATGATAAAAGTGAACTGGAATTAAAACAATATAAAAAAAACTGGTTCCATACTTACAGCACTAATTCTTTTGCTCCAGGGGATGTAGTTTGCATGCACGATTTACGTTTCTTTTCCTTCAATCTAAATTTTCTTCGTGAATGCAACTGAACATCTAGGACCACAGTTATGAGAAGTTGTGATGCCTGGTTTACGTGAAACAAATTATCAACAGGTGGTGATATGATACATCCCACTAATTGTGTCCTAGCATGGAATTCCTTTATCGAATGGAACAATAAAGACCGAAAAATTCGATGGCAAATAACATACATGTTTTCTGTAGCTTAAAAAATGACAGAAAATCAAGAAGTTATATCAAATTTTGGGAACGTCTGCATTTATTATTATATTCAATGATAGAGAAATTCCATGCAAAAATTCCAGTGATCCAATTATTTCGATATTGTATTCACTTTAGAATAGAACGTTCATAGTTCTTCTATGAACGAGCGACAATTTTCTACTAACTATTTCCCTTCGTGACCCTCACAATCAAGTTTGACTGTTCATTTTTTACACATGAGCTAACCTTCTTTCATTGGATGAAATATAAAAGATTTATGAGATCTGTACGAATCTTCAGAACTATTAAGTTAATAAAAAAATGAAACTTAGAAAAACTCAAGAATTACTTCATTTAGACAAATAATTCCAAGACACACTTCTTTTATTATTTTAAATATTCTAATTTTTTTTATGATAAACAGTTTATCGACTATATTGCATTCATTAAGTGCAATCGACAGTTCCTTATAGTGTATTTCAATGGTAATAATTAGCTTCCCGAAATGAGAGTAATTTGATCTTGGCTTGGACACAAATTTTCATATATTGAAATTAATTTGTCAAGAGAAGTCGTACAATAGGTTGATCTCATATGGTGAACACATGTATGCATCGTTCCAAATCTTTTTCTCCCATTTCTTGTTGAATCATACGATAAGTAACAAATACAAAACTCTGTATTTCTCACTGCTTTTTCTTTGCGTTAGACTCTTCCATGCATCTTAACTTTGGGCATGTCTATCGTTGCAGATTTGTCTCGAATTTAAAAGCGCCTAGGTCTAAGGAGCGTCACTCGTTACCAGATTTGATTTTATTGCTGACTGTATTGCCCTCAGTGGGTTTTGAAGTCTTGAGAGGAGGAGGTACAGCAGTAAATAACGAATCTTGGAATTTTTTTCGCTGGGTGGAGAAACATCCATTGGATCCAGTTTTGTTAGCTCACTGGAGAAATCGATGGAACACTCCGATTTCTCAAAGAAATTTGAAAAAGAAAAATTCAAATAAAATTAGAATTTAGAGAGAAAAAATCCCGATTCGCCCAGCCGGGATTCGAACCCGGGTTTCCCAGTTACGCGCCGGGCACTCTTCCAACTAAGCTACCGGGAACCACGGAAAGTCTCTCACTCCAAATTCAAATATACATTAAATAAATTCAAATAGAGAGATCACAGCAGGATGAGAATTGAAATATTTTTGGGCTTTTCTGTTTTTTCTACTGCCTTCTATGTCCTGGGTGTGTTTCATAGCGTCACCGATGATTTCTGGCTTTCGTAAAGGATCTGCNCAGTTACGCGCCGGGCACTCTTCCAACTAAGCTACCGGGAACCACGGAAAGTCTCTCACTCCAAATTCAAATATNATTCGCCCAGCCGGGATTCGAACCCGGGTCTCCCAGTTACGCGCCGGGCACTCCTCCAACTAAGCTACCGGGTACCACGGAAACTCTCTCACTCCAAATTCAAATCAACATTAAATAAATTCAAATAGAGAGATCACAGCAGGATGAGAATTGAAATATTTTTGGGCTTTTCTGTTTTTTCTACTGCCTTCTATGTCCTGGGTGTGTTTCATAGCGTCACCGATGATTTCTGGCTTTCGTAAAGGATCTGCGGATTACCATTGGGGTAGTGCTTGATCCGAAGTAGCTCCTTTCCTCCCTGCAAAAGAGACTTTTTTGTGAGTGTCTTCAGACTGTTGTGAGGCAATTCTCAATTTCTTTCTGCGACAGCAATGAAATTCTTCTTGGGGAGAGCACTGATACGTCGTTTATACTTTGACACTCCGAGAGACATTGATTCTCGATTGGGGAATGTTCGAACACCTACCACAGATACATTTGAGTACATAATAAAGTATCTCAGTGCCTCGATACTCTTCTTCAACTTAAAAACGTAATAAGGCGAGGGGTTATGACTATGGGTTATTCTGTGAGAGCTGACGCTCGATAATCCACTATTGCATCAGACTAATGGTCATGCTGGGACATTCTGCTGCATCAGAAATCGATGAATGATTTACCTGCAATAAAATGATGAACTGAAAACATGACGTCGATGTGAAATGCGAATTGACTTTGAAACTAGAGAGGATGTAGAAATAATTATCAATTGTTCTTCCCAAAAAAGTGGTATCAAAATCAGAGAAAAATTGACAAGCATTTATTGAAAATGATGCTTGCAAGCTTACCTCACTCAGTTACACACAGCCTTCTCACAGGGTTTGCAGTGATTGTCAATGCTTTTGATCGAAGATTATTGCAGGAATGTTCCTTTTAACAATCTTTCATCAAACATAACCTCTTTCGAGCTGTCAGAATCTTCGGGGCTGATAATTTCCCTTATGCCAATGTCCCGTATCACAATGCAGATATGTATTTTTATTTCCCGCACAGGTACAAATAAGATGATTAATCCTGCATCAACAATTATGTTGTTCAATTTAATGTTTTTTTTTCATGAAAGAATGAACTAATATTGTAGACACACATGCAAACAGAGAGAATAAAACGCCAAAGTCGATAATACAGAAACCATCAATGCTCTGCTGGGGGTGGGGTTAGATCATAATTGTTCACCTCAACCTCACTAATTAACAATGATTGTACAAACAATAAAAACATGAAATTCGTAATGTACAAATGATATCCTTCGGAACTGACCCATAATTTAGCACAATTAAGCAATGTACATTTTTTTCCGGCTAGCATCATGCCAAAAGTTGATTAATTTTTTTAAATTAATGAGTGAATGTACAAACAAAAATTTGCATTGTAAAATCATGTACCNTTAACAATGATTGTACAAACAATAAAAACATGAAATTCGTAATGTACAAATGATATCCTTCGGAACTGACCCATAATTTAGCACAATTAAGCAATGTACATTTTTTTCCGGCTAGCATCATGCCAAAAGTTGATTAATTTTTTTAAATTAATGAGTGAATGTACAAACAAAAATTTGCATTGTAAAATCATGTACCAACGATGTACAATCGAGTACATAAGGTCGTTTTTCTAATTAGTGACCTATTCCGGCTAAGTACCTGGAGGAGCTCCGGCGTTCGATCGAGATTCTCGGGCGGCGGCGGGCGACTCAGGCGCTACGTAGCCGGTCGCTGGAGAGTCACTTCTGTGGGCAGTGGAAACTGCCGCTCGGGAATATTGNCGGTCGCTGGAGAGTCACTTCTGTGGGCGGTGGAAACTGCCGCTCGGGAATATTGGTTCAAATTTAAACCCAGAATCCGGAGTTTGAGATAATTTATATTTTTAATGTGCATGACACTTTTTACTTCCTCGAACTCAAATAGTTTAAAACCGAACTTTAACCGGAAATTACTAACTTTAACGAAACAAAACTCGGATTGAGGGGAAAATATAGGCAGCTGTTCGCCTTTTCTTAACGCGAATGCATTTTCCACCTGAGTGAGTGCATATTTCATAGTTGTCACTCTCCCGGGAGTTATTGAGGAATCACCTTCATCAAAACCGTAAATTTAAAATGGCCCATGGCAATCCATGCAGACGAGAGGGCTGAGTTCACCTACATGACCTTCCAACCGTACCAGTGAGCCCAATAACCCCACGAAACGTGTAAGCTGGGGAGCGTGAGCATTTCAGCTCAACCTCGGTGAGCAGCAACTAACACTCAACGGAACTAACGAGATCTCACCGGGAGGCTCAGTCTCCCGGCCAAGAACGCCGGTGGAGACTCGTTCCACTCAGAATTCGCGAAACTAAAGAAAATATAAATCGAAACGGTAAATACACCTGACTGTAAATTTACCTTAAACCGTAATAACCCTAACCGTAATTCCCTCAATCCGGAACTAAACCGGAAGTGAACTCGAAACCTCAAGAATTTAATTATATATTTTTACTTTGACTGAATATTTTACTTTTAATCGTTTTTAACGTGGATCGACACTTTTTCTATATTTAATTTTAAAGAATTGAACGTTATTTTCCCGCGGATGTTGATGTCCTGATATTCTGACGACCGATACCCAAAGCTCGACCTAAAATTTAGGAATGTTGCATCTCCCTTTGATAGGGGTGCCAACCTTCAGGGAGGATATAACGCGATTCTCACTCCTAACAATATTTACTCACCCCGTTTACTCTCTCTCTCCTTACAATCCTTTCTATCGAAAATCCGCAATTTTCCAATTCTGCGGTGAACTCTCGTACAGGTGGCGGAATTTCTAACATTCCGTCACAAAATGATGAGAATTTTCTCATTTCATTTTTTTCAATGTTGACAAGAACATAACAACATCGTGGAACATTGGATTCTTCTCGTCGAAATCGATGTCACAGATAGCTTTTTGAATTAATGTCCAAATATGCATGGACCTGCTAGGATACTTCATTTCCAATGCATAAAAGGTTTTGAAACAAATATCCAACCCGTCCAACAGATTCCTACAGGAGTAACAAAAATTGTCTATGCATAAGTGTACCTCCTTAACGACTGTAAGTTCCCAACCAACATATAGTATATATGGTTGAACTGTTAACTTATCCTTGGCTGCTTCTGAAATAATTCTGTCACGAACTTCTTGCACTTCTTTCGTAGTCTAGACAGTTTTCGATAAAAAAAAAATAGTATACACAAAAATCGAAATATTGGTGTAATAGCTACGAAAAAAAAAATATAAAAAAATACCGGAACGCGTTGAATCAAGGAATCTCGAGCTTCTGTACCTGAAATCTTTTTGAATTTACCGTGGAATTGTGCTTGATGTTTTGCAGGTAAGATGTAGGAAAGGGAATGGAGAATCAATGCATTAATTCCCTCTGCAATCAAAAAACTATTTGATTAAAAAAATTATATCCATTATATATTTTGTATTTTCAATTATCCAAACATGTATTGGAAGAAAGTACCTTCTGAATTTTTATTCTTAAGCGCAGCTTGAATATGTTTAATATTTTTATCACAGCAAGTCTTACTCTTAATGATTTCAATAATCTTCTTCCTGAAAGTTCTCCAATTCTTCATCAAATTCTCATGTTTGTCCATGTCCAAATGTTTGAAGTCAATAGCAACCTGTGGAAGAAAATAAATTGAGTAAAGCACATATAGGGATAATTATGTTTCAATGAGATACGGGTTACCAAAGCTTTTCCAAAACTCAGTCGAAGAACTGGAAACTCATCAAGATAATCACTGAGTTTCTCACTCTTCTTGATCTTCAATCGAGCCAGACGTGGTTCACATGTGATCGCCCACTTTTCTTGCACTGTTTCGGGGGACTCACGTTTCACATGCAGCCACTTAAGAGCAATTCTTTGTTGCTCTGTTGGAAGTGTGGAATCAGCAGACTCTGTGAGCAAAGTTATAATAATTGCATATGTACTGGGCATTATAATTATTGCAGGATACCTTCACGTGAAGTGTCTTCTACACGTTTCCTCTTGCGACTTGGAATAAGAACATGCTTCTCGATCATCCGGGCACGTTCTGTTCTCACTACTACAAGAAGTCTCCCAGATGCAAGAACTTTGTTCACACCGTCGTCTTGAAGTGAAACATAATATTCATCCTAAAGGAAGGAGAACATAAAAATTTTTATAAAACGATGCTGAGAATTTTGATATGAGTAATTAAACTCAGTTGTGAAATCGTTAATTTGCAAGATCGGTACGTACGTCGTCATTGGGGAATAAAAATTTGTTTTCTTTTATCTATTTTCGTCAGCATCGCCGTGTCTGGACTGCAAAAAAAATTAAAAAAATTACCAAATATTAAAACATAAAAATTCTATTATTGGTATCGTTAATCCGATGAAACAAGGAATTGACTCACTAAGCCCATGAATTCAGTAGCCATTGGGCTAGAATGCGGCAAAGCAGAGCTTTATCATCTTCCTGGAGGTCTCTATTCTCCCTATACGCTGTTAAAATATATAAACCCTTAAGATTCGATTCCAAGAAAGTTTTTATATCCTGAAAAATCGAAAAACCGATTAGATCAGTGTGACAAAATAAGTTAAAACTTTAGAGTTATCGCAAATAAATATGTTCACCGAAGCTTACTGAATAATAATGCAACATAAAATGAAAATATTGTCAATAAATACATCTATCACGAAATAATTAACAAATCACAAGTGTTGATTAAATATTATAAGTGGATCTTGTGCATCCAATCGATCTTCTGGCTTGATGAAAGTAGTGGCTTCGTTAAACAATGTAAGAGTTCCATTAATACGTCATGTAATTGCCTACGAAAATGGTTTTTGGATATTTCTTTCTTTCCTACTGATGTTACAATTTTTTACAGACTGCCCGATAAGAAGATTCTATATTCTTTATTCCACAATTTACAAGTTCAAATTCATATGCATACTTCTTATGGGTATTTTCTTTCTTCAGTATTTTCTTTCTTAAAAATTTCTGCAAATGTTTTCTCGCCAAAAATATTTCTGGATTGTTTAGACTGGAACTTTCTCCAAATTGTTATGTCAGGAATGATGAAACCTCGACTATAACATTGGTTGTCATGTGAAAATGACATGAAAAGTATGAAAACTTTTGAAATAAATTTTAATTGGCAAATGTTAGAAAACAAATCACTAGAGAGCTGAATAATAAGGTCCCCTTGAATTGAAGTTAATTATTCCCCAGTATTATCAATGGGAAAGTGTCTTACCTGGAAACACAAGGCGTTAGTTTTAAATAAAAGAATTTTAAATCTGAACAATTATATTCTGAAATTTTGGTGAGTTTACAATTATAATGATGGTCGTACAACTTACGTGACCTTCTTCTCGTTGTGCTTGTACAGGTTTGTCGTTTCCTAATTCTCAAGTTATTTGTTTACAATAATTTCATTTTAATTACTTTGAATGAATGAATAATAATTATTTGAATTCCAAGATGTTCATTAAGTTCCGATATTTTCAGTTGGCAATATAAATTATCAAAGAATCATGAAAGATTCTATTCATTGACAAAAAGTCGTAGAATATTTTAAATAAGTAAAGTTACGAAAAACTCTACATTTGATTGTTACTTCAAAATTACTTGGGTGCCCACTTTAGGACTGAATGAATTTATCTAACTCAGAGAACGGGCGTCTCTGCTAATTCTAAACTTGTGACTATCGCACTTGTAGAATCGATGAAAGTAGCCAACTGAAGGGTTGATGAAGAACTGGAACGTGTAGTGGAACTAACTTTTTCCGCGTCGCGGCTCCCTTTTTATACTGAATCGAAAGTGTGTCATCAGGGGTGGAAGGTTCTAGAAGCTTCCCCCTGTTTTTACCTTTGTCTTCTGCAGGTATCCGCCTAATTATTGGATTTCTTTGAATATTATTCGGGGATTGGTGGTGACGTTTCTCTTATCCCTTCATGGAGCTCGTTGATTGGTGATTAGATGACATTAGGCCTCCTCATTTTCCGTTTGGACTTGCGTAGTTTTTCCAAATTTTGTGAAGAGAATAGTCAACCATCTACTTCCCCTAATTGACGTGGGACACGCGAAGACTATCCTCCGTTCCGATCCTGTCCCCTGATAAAAGTCGTATCATAACTTGTGGTTATTTTTAGGCGTTTTTCCCTTAATTGAGTCAGAGCATCACACTTCCGCTATATGGTCACTGTTCAGCTTAGTCACCCGCGAAACCTCTTAAACGGTGAGGTTCCGGCTTAGCCCCACAACGTAGGTTTCACTCCATTCACATTCTCATACATTTTCAGAGGTGTTATTGATTTTTCTATTGCCAACCGGTAATGAGATTCACAGACATCTCATGCCTTTCTAATTTGTTAAATTGTAATATTTGATAGTTTCCACAATTTCAAAACAAGAAAATATTAATTCATTCATTCGTGATTTAATTCTACATGGATAATTTTTATGGGTGTCGTCTCTACATTTGATTGGGTTACCCTTTCCAATCTATTATTCCACCTTCTCTATTCCTACAAGGAACTTTTGGGATCTTCGCATTTGACTCTCTTTACAGATATGCGTTTTTCGACGGATGTCACAAAATTATTCTTTTCAATATCGACTAAAAAAAAATTGAAAATTCTAATTGTAAAATGTCTAAATTTGATTGAGCTCTTCAATGAGATTTGTATAGAAACGAAGACTGTTCACTTTTCACAAGTTCTCCACAACATCTAGAGTTTGCGCATAAGTTACTCTGTGACGTCCTTCGCATACAAGTTTGTGAATCAACGCTGATTTTCCAGATCCATTTGGGGTTACGCTAGGCTCTTCAATGGATAATGATGAAAGTGACTTTTCTACTTCTGACTCAATTTCTTCCACAGTCAGGACATTTTTGAGTGATTGGGACTTTTGTGCACTGGTGGTTAGCTCGGAATTATGCCGAAATAATTAATTTAAATGCTGGGTATAGAAATGTCGGTGAAAAACGATGGAATTTTTTCGAATGAAATTTTTTCTTATTTTATGGAAAAGGCAATAGTAATTTAAAAGAATATAAAAAGTTATAATTAATTGTAGGTTAAGGCCCGGGTGAACTATCTTTCGAATGTTATCTGGATTTTTTCCATCTTTCGTAATCCCCAAAATTGTCAATTGAGTGGTACATCATGTAGAATTTCGCAAAAATGATAATAGAATAATTGAAAAAAAATAAAAATAATTCTGAACATTTTCAAAGAGCGTTTTTAATTGAGATTCAGAATGAATTGAAAAAAGTGAAAATTACAAATATCTGATTCGCTGTGGCAAATTATTGATTAGCTGTCATTTTCCATAATGGATAACAAAACAGTAGCTCCTCATGGGAAGTGACAACTAGTTATCTCAATTTTCAAAACAATGGTATCTAGTCATCTGCCATTTTTATGTGATAAAAGTGTGATAAAAAAATTCTCACTTGTAATACCACAAGAGCTTCAAAATTATCGGGTATTTTCGATAGGTTCGTTGCAAACAAACGAAGGAGTCAAGTTTTTCAGGTTAAAAAATCACGAGTGCGAAGCACGAGTTGTCAAGTTTCTTGAAAAACTTGACAACTTCGTTTGTATGCAGGGAACCTTGAGGAAAATGCCCGATTAATTTTGAAGCTCGTGTGGTATTCGGGGGATTATTTTTCCAATCCAAATGTCGGGCAATATAATTGGACTATGAGACGAAACTCACAATTGCTCTTCACTCGTGTCAGCACTCAATGTGTAGTTTCTCTCATCACAAAAACTGGTAAATTGATTCCAAATTGTCTTTTCGTTTTCTCCATATTGACGAGAATATTCCCCTTTACTTTTTCATCAATGGCTTTCAGGGAATGAACTCCGAATCTACTCATTTCGAATAAAAATCCTCGGATTACCACAATTGAATTCAATCTGTCAATTTGACGAGGGGTTAATTCGACTGCATGATGTTCTGTTTTTTATATAGCAACTACCAGAGAAAATTATCAAAAAATTATCAGTTGAAAACCCTGTAGTTTGTACCACGTGATGTCGAATGGGCCAATTATATTGCCCGATATTTAGGTTGGAAAAATAATCCAAAATATTACAATTTTTTTCAAAGAGCCTTTTTCGTAATAAATGACTCTGTGCAGTGTGAGAAAAGATTTACGAAATCAGTCTTCCCCCTGTATGAATATGGGTGGCAGGCCGCCATTTGTCACCGTAAATCAGATACATTATTGAATTTCTTGGCATTCAACTTATTCTGAAAATAAATTAAAAATGCTCTTTGAAAAAGTTAAGAATTTTTTCAACTTTTTTTTATTATTCATTCATAATTTTTCAAAACTTCTGCATGATGCAGGAGTCAATTGACAATTTCAGGTGACGAAAGATGAAAGAAAACATCGAGATTGAGGTTTTTAGGCAAAAAAATAACGAAAAGCGAAATAAGAAGCAGCAAATATAACCTAATGTTAGCTAATTTTCTATACCAAATATTTGTAATTGTTTCTTAATTAAATCGACCCTGGCAATTCACGCAAGAGCAAGGGCAGAGCTTGATCGCGAGACCTTCCACCGAACTCGAAAACTAACCTATTCTATTCCCCAAAAATTCGCTATTTGAGCGGCCGTATTGTAACCGCACCTAAACGTTTTCCCGCCGATTCCACTAAAAGAGGAGTTATCCGACCAGACAATCGCGCAGCTCGGTAATATTTTGGCCTATAACGCGGAGAATATATCGGTCCCCGATAATCGAGATACGCGGTAGCGTATCGGCCAAGAAAAGTTTTGACCGACTGAGCAAAACATCAGGCCGAGAACACCACGTATCTATACACGACAGAACTTCCCCCTCCACTACCTCTAAATGATTTACATTCGGTATAATGAAAACGGGACGACGAATCGGGAAAGTGTCGTTAGTTACATTAAATAAATCGCCTATGAGCTTTTCGACGGTGTAACAATGGTATTTTTTGGATTAACAGTAAAAAAGATACGCGCATAGCAAGGAGTTGATATTCACATTCTCGCGATTCACATTATAAAGTGTGAGAATCAAGTTGTAACGTTGGCAGCGCCGGTCCAACTTAGCTTCATATCCAACGTTGAAGTGCTGCCACCAGTGCATTTGAATGTGGGTTGTGATGTTGTTATGGAGAACCACGGGAAATGTTTTTCTTCACGTTAAATCACTTATTAGAATGAAACGGAAAATCAACTCGGCGTTCTATTTTGTTTTTTCTCGTCGAAAATTCGAATTTCATCCCGCCATATCTATATTCATATGCGGACCTTGGACACAAAGGTAGTTTATGCACTGTTTGTGAGGTTATTGGTTTATGTTTGGAATGTGACAAAAGTGAGATGTGTCGAAAATATTGTGTGATCAAGTATTAAATGTCCGTGAATAGTTAAATTCGAAAATAAAAATTTTTTTTCTCTCCGAGTGTAACAGAAAATGTTTTCATTCCGTGGAAAAAAATTCTCTAAATTACGTGATAGTTAAATGCGAACAATTTTGTGATTATTTAGGAAAAATTAGTAGGAGACGGTGGTATCAAATGGACACTTTGAACCCTTTTCAAAACGTTGATGTCTTATTGAAGTGTTGATGAAATAGAATTTTTTTTTAAATTAAATTACAGTCAGCCCCTTTATAATAAGCTTATTAGACTGAGCTCAACCGATAAATTTGTTCCTTGGTTATAAATATTGAAACAAGAATTCAGAAGAGTCCATTCCATCCAATATTTCTCTAATATTTTTAAAAATAAAAAAAAACGAAAACAAATTTGTTTTCAAAAAAGAATTCGATGTGAACATTTTGTTCGACTATTCCTATAAGGAAATCAGTTCATCTCTCCAAGAAATACAATCCACTAGGACTCATCAGAGCAAAAATTGAATGAGGAACCAAATCAAGTCAGGAAATTATTAATAGATGATTAAAAATTGAAATTCGGTGAAGACAATAAATCTGGAGTAGAACTGTTTATTTCCCTTCAATTGTTGATTCAAAAAATGTTCTATCTTATGAAAAATGAATGAGTTAAATTGCATTGAAAAGAACACATTTCACCGGATGTAAAAACAGTCCTTGCTTATTTTGAAAAAAATAATGAAATCTGCCTAAAAAAACAAAAACAAATGTTTTTGTCAAAAAACTGGGCCAAGAAAAAGTTTTGTTTGATTCCTACTTCAATGTCGAAGTTTTTGAAAAATACATAGAAATAAAAAAAAAGAAGCCAAGTCAGGAATTTTGAATAAATGGTGATAGTGCACAATCAGGTTTTCACATGAAAAATAGTTCTCAATGGAATAGGTATTCTAAAAAAATTCTCCATGAAAAAAAAAATCAGTCGGAGCCAAGGTACTTGGCGCCGAGTTTTTCAACTCACTGTCTGTATCAATCTAATCCTCCATCCTTTGATCCGCGCCAAGGACGTTGGTCCTGCTCCTACTGATTTTTTTTTCATGGGGAATTTTTTTAGAATACTTATTCCATTGAGAATTATTTTTCTTATAAAAACCTGATAATGCACTATCACCATTTATTAAAAATTCCTGACTTGGCTTCCTTTT